CAACTTCATTTTAGTAATGGTTAAATACTTATTATTTGTATTAATACTACACATGACCGGGCCTAAGAGCTTCAATAGTGTACATTGACAAGCTTGTGATCACTTTGACAGTTTATAGTCTTGGTACCTATATTGTGAATAAAAAAAACACTTTATTATGCAACAAACACCTACATGCCCAATGACATGTGTGACCTGGCTTTCAATAAAAATATAATCTCCTCTGGCAAATCATTAAATGTACATTATTTAAATATAATCATTTTTCAGTTTGAGATAGTCATAAATCAATTCATAATATTCTGTGTCGAATACTATTTGAATATGTCTTTTATTATTTTTATAAAACGTATATTAAAAATCCTGATTATAAATAAATTAAATAGTTATTGCTACGAATTATAATTTAAAAGAAAATGTAACTGGAAATGTCATTATTATTGTAATCATTTTTTAGTTAAAAGTGTATAAAATGTTTAAATTATGTAGTTGTAAGGATGACAATTCAAATAAAGTTTCCCATAAGTACCATCATAAGATAAACAAAAAAATATATATAAGTACAAAGTTTTTTTTTTAGATTTTTTAAGTTCAAATTTGGACAAAATTAGATGTTTAAACGAAGAATAACGATTTTAGATATTTTGTTGTAATTTAAAAATATTATTCGTAGTTAGGTATTTGAAACTTCTTAAGTACCTATTTAATTATTATATATTATACACACAATGACATTTTCAAATGCAATTTTTCGACAAAAATTAATTCAACTTACTGTATTAGTGTATTACTAATAAAAACAAATTACTTTGATATCAATAATATATCATAAAATATACTTAGTAACATAGGCTGACAGACCGTTTTCGTTAAAAATCATTGTTACAATGATATCGTTATGTCATTAAATTCAAATGTATCACATATATTACTTACTGGACACTGTACGACAGATTGGTAAACATGCAAACATTTTTGTGTATTTTAGTTGACAGATAAATTCATAAACTTCTCAATGTATATGACGCAATTGCAAATTATCTTAGTATGAATGGAATATAATTATATATTATATAATTATAACACAACTACAAATTTTGGTCATGAATTTTGTTTTTGTAGCATCGATTGACAGTACATATGTTTCAGGAATATTAACTAATTTATTTCGATGTTTAAATGTATGAGTGATTTAATACTCACGAAATTATTATGGAATATTTTCAACGATAGCATATTACAGGAATGTAAGGAATGTACCTTGTGATTTTGTGACCCAATACATTTGAACATTTCTTAGTAATTTAAGTCTTGAAGATAGTTATGAGACGAGTTATAATTATTTTAATGAAGATTTTATAAGTTAGCAGTTATATTTTTGTTATAAAATCGTTTGTACAATTCTTATAATATAACGGAGAGGTATTCTAACTATAATAGCATAATGACTATATTTATTATAATGAATAGTGATTATGGTAAGTATAATACGTTGATGAAAATTATAAATGAGATAATATTCATAATTTTAGGTCTGTAGTAGTTGTATCTGTTTTCCTGTTATTTGAGCCAGTTAACTTTAACTTGCACATAAAGTAAACTGCACGTGATTATGTTAAGTTATTTTTATTTTACGGTCCTATACACTAAATTGAATACATTATTTATTTATAAACTATTTTTTTTATTATTATTTGATCTTAAACAACAACAATCTTTAATATTCACAATTGTTAATTATTTCTTCTCCATCTAAATTAAAATATGAATAATCTTAATAATAATAATGAAATAACAATTTCTAAATATTCTATGTAGGAATAACTTTTGCAATATATGTCTACTGAACATGAAACAATTTAGGAATGGTCAATAGACTCAATAAAATATATTTGAATACTAATAATCCATAAGTTAATAATCAATTTATTTAACTTGATTGAAGTTAAAAGTGCACTAATACTATTTAATTTAATATATTATGGATGCAAGCTGTATTGCAATTTAACAGTAAATTAACAAATGTTAATAATATTGATTAGGTACAAATCCTGAATAAAAATATATACTTTTACTCAACAAATTAATTAAAATTAAAATATTATCTTTATGAAGAGCTTTTTTTTTCAAGTTAATTTGGTGATAATGGATTTTGTCTATCAGCGTAAATAGCTTTGAATCAATTATTCTAGTTACGTTAAATGGAAAAATAAATAATTAAAACAATATGATTTGCTACCTATTTCATCAGTTTAAAAATATTATAAAGTATAATTTTAAAATTGTTCGTAAATAATAACGTCGTTTTTTGTATTAATATGTTTGTACATAATATAATATATATATATATTTTTTTTTTAGGTCAAATTATATGATTAAATATCTATTTGTGTTTAAAAGTTTAGAAATCTATAATTGATCAATGTATAGACTATAGAGAACATCGAACTGTTTTTATGTTTAACTTTAATGTAGGCGAAGCGTTATAATGTTGCATCGTTACTCTAGTAAATACATTTTTTTAATATAATTTTCATTGAAATACATTTCAAAATAGTACAGATCAGTGTTTCACAATTTGTGGTAAGCGACCTCCCTGGTTCAATTTATTAGTTTTTTATGAACAACATGCTCGTATTGTATATAACATGGTTCAGTACATTGCGATATCTAAAACCAACCCACAGCTATAATTTACAAATTATAATATAATTTTTTTTGTTACAAAAAACTGCTTTAGATATTCATTTGATTTTTAGATATTTGTGTGTAAAATATTTTTTATTATTTAACTAGTTGTATAACACCTGAAGATGAAAAAAATAGCCACTTAAAATCATAAGCTTAATATCGATTCAAACATGTTTACGATTTTCACTAATGAGTAGGGCTAGGATAGTATAAGATTTTGCATTTTTTTTTAGGATTTACAGGACATAGCTTTTCAAGCACAAAATGTGATTTGGTCATATACGAGTCCAAATTTATAGTTTTTATTTTGCTTTTTTTTGCATTTTTTGTACTTTTAAGGATTTAGGGTCATTTTTAGGTCATTTTTTCAATTTTACGGGCATTTTTTATACTTTTTTGAAATCTAGGTAATATTTTTATACATTTTCATTTACACTAGATGTTCTCGATAAAAGTTTTGAATTTATAACAGAAATAATATCATATTCAATATTTCAATTATAGAGATAGTATAGAGAATAATCTTCGATACCTCGAGTTATCTTAATCGTTAAATTAAATGACAGTGATGTGGAGAGTACAGTGTGTAGTAGTGTGTTAATACTCGTTATCGATAATAAAACCACTTATATATTACAACAATTAACTTCGATACTATAAAAGTTTTTCATGCTACAAAACATTGCTAGCAGATAATCGGCAGGCATTTGTATTTGAAAATTTGAAGGAGCTACCGATTGTCCAATGCAACAATACAATTTAAACGTAATTTTCAGAATAAAAAAAATATACGTATATATTTTTTATTTTATAGTATTTTTGTTGTTTTTTTCAGAAAATTTTAAGCTGGCAGTTGCATGATAAGTCCAAACTTCAAACTCAATTATTCATATCAAGAAAATCCTAAATTAACATTTTTTTTGCTATTTTTTTATAATATTATAATTTAAATAATTTTTTACCGAAATATTAATTAATAATTATAATGCATTTTTATAACATTTTAAAATCATTTTTTATCTTTTGGGCAATTTTTAAGTTCATTTTTAGGTTATTTTAAGGTCATTTTTTTAGGTTTTTTGGGTCATTAAAATCCTAGCCCTACTAATGAGTTATGAGAGAATCTTAAATAAATATATATTTTGTATAATGTCTATAGACATATGACCGATGAAAGTTTGTATTTCATCACTTATAGAGAGTTAAATATAATACTACATAACCAAATTATATAATAGTATATTTTTTTTTATTATTAGTGAGGGATCCCGTGGCAACATAGGGCATTAGGTGTGCGGTGGTACGGTTGTGTTTTTTAAAAAAATATTTGGATATTTTGAGTACGTTTTTGTGTTGCTAGGGTTGTAACACGTGTTTGTGTATGTGGTACAAGGATATGTTGCTAAAAATCTCGAGTGGTCACCCATCCGGGAGCTAGCAACACCGGCCGGTGGGTACAGTGTACATCCAGAGCGCATACACAACTGAGTGTAGACACCACGCCACACCAAGCCACATAATGATATTAAATAGACAAAATTACAATGATTAACGCACAACGTTTCTATACTGACTATATACATGTGTATTCACATAGCAGGTAGTGTATAAAAAGTAATAACAGTTACGGTATTGTACAACAATTTGGCGAAAATAGAAGGTTGGAAACTTTCATGTCTGGCATCATATAACGCGTCATCTATTTTAACATGAGCTTTGTGACGAAGTGACCCTACTCCAAAAATATATATACCTATGCTTAATAAAGTTGACACTAACCTTTCTCCACTACACGTACCGTGCCTCTTTTCATATCATCAACTATATTACAATAATATTTTATGCATGTTATATTATTATATTATAATCCAGCCAGCGATTCTCCATTAGTGCACCACTATAACAGTAATTTATCTAGGTTTATGTATAATAGTCCTTTGTAATCGGCCGTATCACATGTACTTTAATTTCCCGTCATTTCAGGACCGGAACATTTCACCCATTTAGTGTTAAAACACTGTGAATTTTATACTCGCACCTTACCTCATCTCCGCACCCTATTACAATTTGACTACTATGTCACATCTATTGAAGTAGGTTCCTACTCACTCGAATTGCCAGTAGATTAAGTTATTTCTCGAATATTATTATACATTTTTAGGCCAACCCCGCATGGTAATTAATAATATATTATTTTATTTTGTATACGTATCAATACTTTATTGTCACTCTTGTGATTATACGAGTACAATGCTAATAAATACTTCACAGTGTACTTATACGTTTTTTGTTTGATATTTTTTTAATAGGCTTTCGGCCAAAGTCCGCAAAACTCGGTAGACGTGCGACCGATAGTCGTGATGCCCACGGCGCCAGTGTCTGACGACCGGAAAAAGCAAATCGACAGTAATTCGCCTCTGTCAAACGAAGTAGATTCGGCGTCGATGATGTCGCTGTTCAATGTGGCCGCCGCCAACAACGTGAGTGTTGAACAGCTGGCCATGGCTCTCCGACAACGGCAGCAGCAACAGCCGTTTTACCAGAAACCCGCCGACGATGTAACCACACCTACACCGACCACGACTATTACCGCGTTACCTACCACCACTACCACGCCACAACCGCCTCCGGCACTTACCTCAGCATACTTTTCGGACGAGCAACAGACGGTCGCTAAGAAAATACCTATCAAACCGTATAAGTCGAAATACGTGGGCAGTCAGGTGGGCAAGGTGATGAACGCCCCCAAGGAATATTATCCCGTTGGATACGACAAGAACTTCGATGACAACTTTGTGTCTAAAGTGGACCTGCCCGACACAACATTCAGTTGCGGTGACCAGAAACATTTCCCCGGATTGTATGGTGACGAGGATTTGGGTTGCATGGTAAGTGTCAGATTATTATTAATATAGGTTTACTATAGGACATAGGTGAACTATTTTATACTAGGTTTATTGAGGATTTTATTCACAATAATCAATTCGTATCATTAATAAATTGTGGGTGTACATAATCACTTTTTAGAAAATTAACGTCAAAACATTATAATGAAGACAATTGTAAGATTTCCTAATTTTACTTTCTTGATCTTTAATCAAGTAAGTATGGTCATAGAAATAAAAAAAGTCTGTATTTTTAAAACTTCAAGAATTTTTGTTGAATAGGAAAATAATAAAAATACAACTCAATAATAATGAGTAGTTGGGTAATTAAGCTAGTATAAATTATAATTTAGATAGCTAATATAAAATATTAATTAGAGAGAGATAATATAGAGAATTACACATTTAAACATAAGTTTAAAAATCTTTAAAAACTAATATACAAGGGCCATATAATATTATCTTTAGTCATTACTCCTCGTTTGACGGTTAATCTGTTAAAGAGCTCTTACATGACGATTTATTAATAGTGCATGTATGGACATATATTTGTCACTACCTACCGACTACGTATTGTTGTCTGCATATAATAAAATAATAAATGGATACGTATACGAGTGTATTCTGTTCTTAAAGATAGGGAACCTATTCAATATTATTCAATAGTATATAATGAAAATGGATGACAGGATATAACTGGGTTGAACATTCCTAAAAGTAATCATGTTTTGTGCTCATTCACTAACAAATTGATTGATTCGATTTTATTTTATTTTATAAAAATAGATTTACATTTCCAAAGAAATTTTTACCAATGTATCTATGTAAAAAAACCCCATATTTGATTTACATCGATTAGAATAATATTGCACATTTTAAACTTAGAAAATTATATAGATACCTATTAAATAAAATATTGATTGAACAATTAAAAATGTGTTTAAGTAATGAGATGACTGTTGATGGAGGTAAATAGGTTGTAAAATAATATGTATTGTAAAATTTACCTCTTGGCATATTACAAATTATGCGAGTGCACATAAAAAAATTTGAAAAATGATCATCATTTTATCATGGATCGACGTCGATGGACTGCAATTTCTATAGGTATATATCATTATTTATTACATTAATATTTAATATTTCTTCAATATATATGTAACAAGCGTATAGTATATTGATTATATGCTAAATAAAATAAAAAAAATTGAATGTTAGATCACCTAAACTATGTCAAAAAGTCATAACGTATTAACTGTACATATATAATATATTATGCTTTCCGTATAACGTCATACGTTATGGAGATATATATCAGGTATTTAAAATATATGATTTGTTTAAATACAGATAAAATTGAATAAATTAATTGAAAAACTTAAATATTTGAATTTCTATTGGTATACTACTAAAATATAGAACCAAAACTAACCAAATTAATATTTAAATACTCAACTACTCAATAGCTTTGAAGATTTAGTACAATACATTATTAAACCTTGCCGTTTTTTTAAATGTAACATGAAACGTACTCAGTGTTCATAAAATGTAATATAGGTAATATAATCAAATGTTAACATTTCTGACACAGTAAAAACCTTTATTGAAATAAAACTATAATTATTCAAAATAAGAAAGGAAATATGTAAATCTGTTTGTACTTAAGCATATAAATTAATGTTTGTTTGTATGGGGCTTATGGACTTCGAAAAAACTGAACCGATTGGCACCAAATTGTGCACCCATATTTCTTGAGACACAAGAGTGTTCATAGTTTCGTTTGTCAATCCCTATTAGTTGGAATAAAATGGCTCACGAAAGTCGAATATTTTTTTTTATTTACATGTAGTTTAGATTAGATTAAATAGACTTTTATACAATCCTAAATATATAAAAATGAATGTATGCTTATAGCTTTCATACACATTGAAAAACTATTTGACTGATTTTGGAAAAAAAATATTAAATTGTTCTTAGAGATATCAGGAAAATGTAGAGAGTAGTTTGAACCACGTTCGAAATTATACCAAGAGCCAAATCCAATCCACCACAGGTGGATTTTCCGTCTCTGTCCAATAAATTCTCAAAGGGAGCTTCGAGGTACACTAACACCAATTTTCCAGTGAAATGAGTTAAACTAAAGAGTAGAAGAACGTGTTTGACAGTTAGAATTTCTCCTCGGGTAATACATTTGATGGGTTCTTCGGATTTTATGAGGAATAAGCATTGTATAAGCCATGTATGCACAATTCTCAGTCTGTTTATTATGACTTCATGTCGTATTTTGGTAAGGAGTGGAGACCAGGGGTTAATAAAGAGTTTGATCTTAATAATTTTTTTTGTGACGAATCTCAATAATGTTGCCACTGTTGCAGTATCAGGGACTGTAAAACTCCTTTGATGTCACTCAGAGAACACATTTGGACTGAGGAGACTTCAATGGAGTTTATTCCTCTTTTGGCATAGATGTCAAGTGTCTCATTGTCAGAGATTCTTATGGCTGGGAATCTATAACAGTGGAACTTTTTGGTTGTTATGTTTAATTAGAGAAATCTGATTTTGAATTATTCTGGATATGTCGTTGGGTTGGTTTATGTTGCAGATGCTGTTTAGATATTTGCTTAGTAGAGTGCTTTATCTATCTTGTGTTGTTTAATTATTTCTAATGGATGGGAAATCGAGTAGACTTCTGCTGTGTTCGTGGAGCAGAAATCGGGAAGTTTGATCAATTTTATTGTGTTATTGGAGTATACCAATACCCAAACACCCACTTCAGTTTACATAATATACGTAGTATTATATGAGCAAATAATAACAATATAACATGCAAATAACTATCATGATATTGTTGATGAGGGTAGGGTGGAACTACGCTAAATAAATTCATTAGCATAAAGATTGTGATATCGTGGTTGGAGGTTGAAATCTTATATGTACCTACCTTCGCTGGACAAATGGATATGTAACTGTAGGAATCTACCCAAACGTTAACTTTTAGACTCTACTACTTTAAAATTAGACAAGGGTCGGTGCCGCAGCGAAATAGTCACGCCGAACACTCAGCCGTGGCGTGCTTAGCAAAGATAACAAAAATCCGCACATTCATGACTCGTGGGTGGGTATTCTTGTACAAACCATCGTGTCGCGTTATATAATAATATTTAATAATAACAGCAGCACACAACGGTTACAATCGTACCGTTTCAAATCATACAGCGAGATTATATTATTTTGTTACGAGCTAAATTAGGTTTTTTTTTAATTTCACCATCTGACATTGATAGCTAATGGCTAACACAAATAATATAATGTAAATATTAAATAGAATCTGCTTATCGAAAATGTGTAATCCAAATTACATAATGTAGAAAATAATTTGTTGTTATTTTTAAATGTGTTAATTTGTATTCACGTTAAGTCTCATAACTTAACTTAACTAATTCCTAATAATAATATTCTATTATGCGAATATCAGACATTGGAGGTACGCTTATTATACCTATATATTTTTTCACAATCATAAATAAATATAAATCGTAAGTAAAATAAAAAAGTACCCAAAAATTTAATGACATAGAAGTCACGTTTGGTAAGTATATAAATACACGACAGCGTTTAGACTTTATATTAGGTACCTATTATTGGAGTGATCATTATTAAATCGTAATAATATTATACTATATTGTTAAAGTTTTTAATCAAATTCGATGACGTAAAATTGTATAATCATCACACCGTATTTCTAAAAACGTGTATATTCATTTTTATTATATTCTTACAGCATCATGTCATCTTATAGAGCTTATGTTAATTCATTTAAGTGTTTGAATACATTATGTAAAAATACGTCTTCATACCAATTCAAAGTAATATTTTAATTTAATTAACCCATTTTAATTTTATAATGATTGGTTGTTTTTATGACTGGACACATAGGTATTAATGTATTATTGTTAATATGACGTCCTTATATAAGTTGTCTTCACCTCACGCAAAACAAATTAATTATCCTTCAGAAGAAATAAGTGGAATATTATGTGAAATAATAATTTTACCTATACATTTGATGATAGGTAAATCCTCTATACATAAAAATAAAAATATTAAATTTTGATGGATTCTAAACGTAGAATTTTTATTTTTAAGCACTAGTAAGACGGATTCGACATAATATGTGTGCACGACGCGCGACGTCTTTTTGATAGAATATTGTATTGTAACAGTTTAAACTTAAAAACTGAAGACTTATCCAGATGTCATGATTCGTGAATGTATAAGTATCAAAATTGCCTATTCATAACGCCGTGTTTATTACAGACTATATATTTATTTTTAAATATTCCTACTTTCTTTTTGTTTATTATTCATCCATCGCAATAACGGTTTGAGATTCTAATTAATTAATTTAGCTGCAAGTTTAATCATAGGGGTGAGGTGTAAATATTCACTATTCATTAATTTTATCTAACCTTCATAGATACGATTGTATTTAACAAAATATTTGCTTCTTCGAAGCTCACATCAACGTATCATGTATTATACACATATTATTCTAAGTATAAAATAGTTCAAACGAAAATCTAAAGGGAATTCTGAAAGGTTAAACAAATAAAACAAATATATGAAAATCATAACACGGATTTGTTTTGCATTATTTTTTTGACAACAAAATATAGCAGGAGATAAAGGTCTGTGAAGTAACTATACGAATGTATAGTTTTTCACAAGGTCGTAAATAAACTTTTCTTTATAGCACAGACAGTTGAATGTCATGGGAAAATGGGTAGAAATATTCCAATTATTGTGACCGACAAAAATGAAAAAGAAATAATTGAACTTATTTTTATCTCAAATCACAAAATTTTTTTTTTAAGTACTTAATATTATATTACAATATAAAAAACATTATCGTATTTAAATGTATAAATTGAAAAATGATTGTTCGCCAATCGGCAATCACTAAATATATCCTTTTAATTTGTCTTAATATTTCAAAATATTTATTACAAATCACAACGATAATATACAATATTAACTTTTACTGGTAAATTGCTTATAAAAAATATGTTGAGTAAAATAAATTTTAAATAATTTTTAGTTGGACATTAGAAAAAATATTTAGTCGATCATAACAATGATAATTTTATAATATTATTTGTTCGTACGTTTTATAATATCTCTTTTGAGGTGGCTTAATCATGTATAACTAATCACATCCAAAAGAACCACGTAGAAAAAGCTGTGGGACTTAAATTTGAAAGATTTTAATTTTGAAAACTAATTTAAAATCTTCAACAAATCTACAAAAGCATGGCAGTGGAAATTTATCATTATTACACAAATGAATGGGATACTTATATATATATAATATCAAAATTCTTATTTTTTAAATCGTCAATATTTTATCGAATGATTTGAATAAATAAAATCCACTTGGTCATTCCAGCTAACACAATGACTAATTAATAACGATTTTTAAAATTAAAATCCGTCAAACTAAGTCCTTCAATTTTGTCTAAGTGTTTGACTTTTGTCATTTAAATATCATAGCGTATACTTGATAAGATCTGTATCATTGACATGTGCCTATCCGTGCGGAATGTATAATATGCGGGTGGTGAGCAGTTGGTGTCTGGTTCTCAATAACGAATCTTAAGAATTACACACACTCACATTAATTTACTTCTCACACAGTAATACAGCTCAAATAAATTGCTATATGAAATGCCTAAATATTACTCCTTAAAACACGTCACTCTCAGCCCTCTTAATTTCTTCTACTTAGTTCATAATGGTCTTGACATGTCAGGTGTTGTTGTTTGTTACTACTTGTTAGTCATATACTTTTTTTTATATAGATATAATAATAGATAAATGATAATATTTAATTTATATGATCTATTCAGTTTAAGAACCATACTGGGTAGTATAAAATACTTCTATAACTGAATAGTTATGATGATTTAAACATTACTATGTGTATTTTACTTTTGTAATAATAATTTAATTTTAATTGTTAAGTAAATAAATTTCAATTGGCGCTCATTAGTTGAGTGATTATGTATAAACCATAGAAATTATTAAATGTATTAGTATATCACTGTGATTGTGACCGGTTATGTGATTAGGGAACTGTTCTCTTTAGCCTAGATGCTGATTACGGCAAGAGTACAAACGAGTGTTACACCTGATTGTTACGATTTAGCCAATATATTATTATAATGTACCTACTACATTTATATACATACATGTACCAACTTGCATAATATTTATTATTTACTATTATTTTATTTAATTTAAATAACTATTACATGCACATATAATCGAAGTATGTCTCACCATGTTTGTCCATGTAAATAAAATTGTACCCAACTAATATTATATTAGTATTATTTCATACAATTATTGTTAAAGTTTACAATATTTTTTGATAAGTAAATCAAAAATAAAATTGCTAAATTTCTCAAAAATCATATTCATAAATGTTTTCAATTCAAAGTAGGTATTCATTGTAACTAAAAAATACGCAAGTATTCAAATCGATACTCATATAGATGCAACTAAGCCATGTTGTGGCTAGACATACTGTATACTATAATATAAAATGAACGTATTATTATTTATCATCTCTCTTAATAGTGTCTTCATAGGTTTGGTCTATAATTTAATAGTATTACTAAACGTGAATGATGTAAACGAGACAATGTCATAATTATTATGTTTACGTTACAGGTGTTCCACGTATGCGCGTTCACCGATGACGGTCTGACGCAAAAGAGCTTCTTGTGCCCCGAATCGACGCTGTTCGACCAGACCATACTCAAGTGCAACTGGTGGTTCTACGTTGACTGCAAGTCGTCTAAGAAATTATATGACAGTAACATTCCCATATCGAAGAGCTATCAGCTGATGAAAGCTCTGACGTTCTTCTCATCGTACTCGGCGGGACCATCCATGGACGCTTCTGTGGCCGCGGCCACAGCCGCCGTGTCACGACATTCGTCAGACGAGCCGAACAAGTCCGATCTCGCTACCATTTCGTCGCAATTCGATGGTGTCGCGAGTTCGTCAGTTTCAAACACCACCACATCTACCGAAGTCCTCGACAACGTGTCATTCCGAAGGTGAATGGGTACTTTATACCATTTTCTTCCTCACTCCCACAAACATAAACAGAAGGCCAGATTTTTTTTTCGAGCGCACGCGTTTATGTACACGACGTCTCACAAATATTTAATTACTTTTTTGTTTTATTTATTATTTAATTTATGTATAACGCGTTTATACCGTTGTAACGAATAGGTTTTAGTGATTTTAGATTTTTACTATTTTTGTGATATAATAATATTTTTCAAAATGAACGTTGTATATTATAGCCTATAAGCAATACATGGTAATATTATCTAATACGCATAATATTTTCTTAGACGCTTTAAATAGTTTTCAATTTGCTCATTTAAAATTTAAATAATTATTATACTCTGATAATTGTAATAATATTATTTTGTATTGTTTTAATTTAAAATTTGTATATTCTTTTGTAGTAACAAAACTTTTATACATTCATATATGTATATATAATATATACATTTTTTTGTACTAAACAACATTAAATTATTTTGCTGTATAGTATAAACGTTATCATAATTTAGAGCTAATAGCTAGCTAAATTTATTTATACCCATATTCATTACACTTAGTCAAATAATTTGATGTTGAAAATAATATTGTAATAATGTGCAGCAGTGGGCTGACCATTGACCACATTATATGCATTATGAAACAATTAATATGGTTTACTATATTATATTCGTACTTAATTCACAAAATATTACCCTATGATATTCTTAATATCTCTCTGTAAATAAATTCATAAAACATACATTAAACGAAATGTATACATATTTTTTATATTTATATACTCAGTTAAAAATGTTAAGCCTATGTTTTTCGGGTTTCCCTATAATTATTTAAACCATTTATTCGAATATTGTTATGGTCTAGTAATCCATTAAAAATATGGTTAATCATTTTTAATTACCTATATATTATTTCAGCATTAGTAATCACCACATCCAATTTTATTATTCATGATTAAATTGTGTACAAGCTTTCATATCATATTATTAATTCAATCCTTGTACATATATTTTGTTGGAATTGATATAGTGTTAACTAAAATTCATAATATTAATGCAGTTTGACCTAGATTAGTTCTGAAAACAATATTTTTACGTAAGATTATAAAATACAAATTCATTTAAAGTTTGCATACACATTTTTCTGAGAAATTGTTAAACATTTATTTATTTATATTTAGGTTTCTCTCAATAATTGTATACTAGTTCACGTCAAATACAACTTTATTTAATCTCATAGCATTAAATAAATGCAATTTCCCTCAGTTATTACCACAAAATGTCTGCAAACTTTCTTCGGAAAAATAATATACTTTTGATAAATTGCATTCATCAGACAATTTGTATTTAATTTATTTATCTACATCTCAACATATTATAGTATTAACTATTAACTATTCTATATTTTTGCAGACATTATTAAATTATTTATAAACATCATAATCATGTAGTGTACCAATAAAACAAGTCATACGAGTCATAAGCAAATTTATGATAAGTTTTTACGACATTCGAGCTACCCTTTGTATTATTCTGTTCCACCCTAGTTGTGTATATTATATTGCATTAAAATAAATTCTTATATTGTAACATTTTTTGTATTTTGCTTATCGTATTTGATACTATAAGCAAAATTGTCAAATTGTGTTGTATTAGAGTCAAGTTTTTACCAATTTAGGCACCATAGATAATCTGAATATAATAACCTTATTAGTTATTGTGTATTAATAAACAATAACTGTTTGTTAAATCTTTCTATATAAAGATGAATGTTTCTTTGTTTGTTTGTTCTCTATAAACTCAACAACTACTAGACCGTATTCAATTATAGTTATATTAATTGATTCCTCGAAACTCGATTCATAGCTTTTTTGTTCAACCTCTATAAGGATGTTATAGTTAGAATAGCTTACTCATGAATTTAGTTTTTGCTCACGAAAATCAAATATTTTTTTTTTCATTTAAATAGTTGCCATTGGTTACAAATTATATTACCATTATAATAATTAGTAGAAATATGATAAAACATTTTTGTTTTAACATTTTTTATAATTTGCTTTTTTAATTCTGGACATATTTTTTTATAAACACTCATAATAAAGACGATACAGACGAATACTAATATCAATGATATTGGATTTTCGCAATATTTTGAGCACTCGTTAAATCTATATCCAGAATTGTGTATTAACATAAATAAATATGTCCAGAGTTAAAAAGTGGAAAATCATCAAATTAACAATTATTATTGCACTAATTGTGTTTGTAAGTATTATATCTTTCGACTGAATTAGAACGATAAACGATGGATAAACTAGATTAATTTTAACCCGGATGAAGGTGGTAATAGGTACAGGTAGTATTATGTATAAGCATTGTCAGTTTCACGTTGTTTTTAAAAGTTATAAGAATAAAACATTAACTAAATTATATATTTATATCCATTATAATTTTTCACAGTAATGATAGGTACTAAAAATCTATAAATTGTGATATGCAATACATTTTATACATTGAATTAATTGTAGAAAATATTGTACTAATAATCAATATCAAGATATTGTAATATTAACAATATGTTCAATAATTCTATTACTGTATTACTGACATTAAATTGCATTTTAAATATTATACGTCATCGTGACTATAATAATTGAATTGCTTATAGCAACAATAATTTGAATATTATCTAAGAAATAAAATAAAACTAAGTCAATTAATAATAAGATATTAAGATGAATTAAAAATAAATCTTTTTATAAATATATATGTATCTATAATACCTCCGTCCTACAATCATAAATATGAATAATAGTATGTTTATAAAGTTTAATAATACTGCAATTGTATTGTTCATAGCAAATTGTTAACTTAATTTGCAGAACAAAATATTATTGAAAATTACAAAATCTCCTAGTACTTTTGTATAATGTAGGTATGTATACACATAAAAAGTTATCTGTGCGAGAGATAAACTTTGAAACCGCCATTAAAACTTGAACTTCTTTTTCCATTAGAATAATTAAACCAGAATAATAATAATTATACCTAGTTACAGTTGGACGTTGGTAGTATAATTCATAGTACCTACACATAACGGTATTTTAGGATATTATCTAGAATTCTAAATATAATATTCACCCACAAATTATCAAGAGGCAAATCTGCTTAACATGAAGTTTTATGGAAGTCCCAAACCTATAGCATTGTAATATTACAATTTATAGTAATATATATATATATATTTTGACGACACAATCTCATTTTACTTATTAATTAACTAAATAGAATATCACCTGTTAAATAGTGTCACACACAATATAATATTGCTGCAGTACGCAGGATGAATAATATAGTTGATATTATATTAAGACGAGAAAAGTCATATTAATTATATATTATGACTACTATAACCCGAATGAAAAGTTTATCACATCCAAATATTATGTGAGGAAGTCACATATGACCATATTTTATAATATTTTTATTTATTACTCGGTGAATCGGATGACTGAAACAAACCGACCTATTAGCTCTATTGCGGTAACTCCGGCTCTCCTATTCGGACCGCGACCCCTCCAGGTTAGTGGTAATGAAGTGGTTTACCAATGCGGTATCCATTACCGTGGACTGAACTCTGATGAGGGAAAAAATTTAGGTATCCATAAAGAACAATATAGGCGCGACACCCAATCAGCTGATCGTGCTCTTGTTTACCTGTAATCTGTTCAGAACCCTGAAGTACGAATAATAAAGTTAAAAAACATGGAAACAAGCCCGCACGCCAATCTGAGTTTATACGTTTGTACACCAGAGTTACCGAAACGTTTACTGGCACCATTTTCAAGGCCATACAGGCCCAATTCGGCTAATTCACTCAGTACCATACCCCTGGTATAAACGCTAGTCGGTGGAAGACATCTGATAAGAAACAACAACGAACTGTCATTTATCGACCACGTTTGTTGTAGTACCACGTGTATGCATTGTAGTATGATGTTAGACAGTGAGCTGCAGGTTTATTACATTTGACATGATATTATTGATAGTTGTACATTCTATTAAACAAAATGCAAGTATCTTGTAGAGATTTTTTAGAACAAATTTTATAAATGAACATTTCACAAAACATTTATCATCAAATAAAATAATTTTCGAAATAAAATCATCCAAATAAAACCAATAAGTTTTAGCATAGTTTTATGGCAAATATAATTGATGAAAATATAGGTAAGTTCTCACCTGTCAAACATTACTAAAAATAAGTGTTACCACTACTGTTTAGTGATAATGATACACATTATAAATGATCATGATGACAATTTAACTTCTAGAGTTCATGATTATTTTATTGACTATCGATCAATATTATTATAATATGGTAATTGAACCAATTAGATAAGTAATTGGCTTGTGTTGTATAATTCATTTTATCGGAACCAACTAGATCACAATCTTGTATAATTTATTCTACCGAACACCGATGTACAATAATTATAAAATACCTAGGTACTATTTATATAAAATTTAATATAACCCAACCATGATACTGATATTAGTGCAAATCTTGAAATGTTGAATTTATGACACATAGTAATACCTTTATTGTACATATAGGAAAATAGGCCTTATAGCTAAAATAGATGTAACGTATTGTCCTAATCTGTACTCAAACGAAACGGTTACCTACTCCTATACTTACATTTAACAGACTACATACATACGTATCAGCTAGTCAGTCGGTATGCCACTCTATCACACGGCGCTATGCGATTACCGAATGTCGAGTTTACTTTCGAATAAAGTTTGTACTCCAAACTATCATTTCGTTATTGGCGAGATGGTGAAAGTAGAAAAAAATTGGTTTAAATGCACAGACAAGCAACAGTGTCTGTATCCTTCGGTAGCTCAGTTGGTAGAGCGGTGGACTGTAGTGGCTAAAATCATAGATATCCATAGGTCGCTGGTTCAAATCCGGCCCGAAGGAAATTTTTTTTATTTAATTTTGAATAAAATCTATTTAAACAGTTGGTTGTGTACGGTTACAGTGCTTTAAAGTTCAAATGAAACTATTATCATTGTTAACGTGTCTACTCTTACGCATACACAACTTCACTTGTCCTAGGTTAGTATCCAAGTGCATCCACCTATTAAAGTAATTTATTTTAACTACGCATAGCCTAGGAGAGTCAGAAATCTTAAATTGTAAATTTATCCACTCATAACAAATATAAACATTTAGTCATTAATTACAAAAAATTAAG